TAATTATAATATCATATAATATTATAAATTTATAATATGATTATTATTACATAATTAGTCTTTTTTATTTAAGTGTTTACTAGTGATATTATCTATATCTATTTTTTTAATATCATGCCATATGCATTTAATGTTATATTATGATTGTAAATTTATAATTTTATATGATATTATAACTATAACATTATTATTTTAAAAATTATACCTTCCCTTGAATGCATTCATATTTATTTACCCTGTTGGGATTTTTGCACCTACTTTAAAAATAAATAAATAAATTACAGGATGGACAGTTTAGTCATTTTAATAGGATGTAAAGGACGCGAAGGAAGATTGAAAATGACACATGCAGCGGACTAAGATGAGAAAAAATAAAGAAAAATGAGAGCTTGAGTGCCCAAACTACAAAACTTCTCTCCAGAATTTTTATAAGAAAATCACCAACTAAATAATAATTTAATTTCTTTTGAAGGATCCTATCAAACTAATAGAAAATAATGATTATGAACTTTTTAGATAAAGTGAGTTTAATTACTGAAACACCGTTAACACCGTTAACAGGTAATATCGTTATAATATAAAAAAGTATAATACTAAGGATAGAAGCAATTAATAATATGATTATTGATTTCAAAGCAATTATTTTTTAAGCATACACGTCATTCATTACAACATTCTTTTAAATAAAATTATATGTAATTAGACAATATGTAGAAAAACCACTTCCAAAAAAATGGAATTGAAGTGAATGTCACAATCAATTGCAGAGAATATGCATCAATTCAAGAACTTATTAATCCTGAAGAAATTAAGTTGTGTTATGATGGCTTAAAATAAGTTGTTCCTCATTGAATTATAATCACTAACTAAAGTTCACCATTTAGATTGAATTCTATATGAAATGAACCCTCTATTTTCATCGCTTTTCCTCTTTGATTTTCAAAAAAATTCACAAAATTGTAAAATAGATATCTATCGGATATCCTAAAAAAAAATACCCCCAAAAGGAAATTTACATAAATTTATTTAAATTTCATTGGTGGCCCCAGGCATAAGAATTTTTGTCATTGGTAGCTTGCCATGCATAGAACATATTTCTTCTCTTCAGTTCTCCTATAAATTCGTGCCCTTCCTTTCCTTTCTTTCCACCACTTTTCCTCTTCTTAATTACTTCTCTGCTCTCAATTCTCTCCTCCAACAGCGCCTCCACCGCACCTCTTGGTGTTAACATGTCTTCCATGTTCCCCGATGACCCTGACAGCAACATGGACAAGATTCAGTTTGTTCTTAACTACAATCTGATAATCTTATGTCAAAACCTATGGTTTATTACAATTTTCCCTTGACTAATAATTTTGGTTTTGCTTTGAATTTTCAGGGATGAGAATGCTTTGGTTTCTGGTAATGGGAATCCTCCAAGCAGGTGATCCTATTCAAGTCTCTATATTATGTTCCTTTTATGAATAAATAAATAAGTAATTAAAAGTTTAGTAGTTGTAGATGTGAACTCTTAATCCTCTTTATTTTTCATTCTAGAAAACAAATCTTGTCATTTTTTTTTTCTATATACAGTGACAAAGATAATAGGATGATGATTGACCCCCCACCTGAGAATTATGAAGAGGATGACGGAGAGGATGACGGAGAGGATGACGGAGAGGATGAAGAAGATATCCCGGATTACTATGATGATTATGACTATGACGACGACGATGATGACGACGATGATGATTGGGACGATGAAGAATATGAAGATGACCAAGAAATGGAAGATCTGGAGGACAACGCTTCCTCACTAAGTGAAGACGAGGTGATTTTCATTTCTCTCTCACAAAATTATTCTACTAATTAACAAAACTTAATTAATTTAATTTGCTTTGGTAAATAATGAAGTATTTATGTGAAACAGGAACTAACCACAAAGCACCGACGTGGTCATGTATGACTTGACTTCGACTGGTTGGTGAGAAAGACGGGGAAGAAATAAACCTTTGCATATTAATGGTTGTATTTTTTATTTTTATTTAAAAATAAAAGGCACGGGAAAAAGAAATATTGTATTCCTTTCAGTTTTAGTCTCAAGTCATGATCTCTCAGTTTGTCATGATAATTTCCCGTTGTTTGTAGGGTGTGTAGCAAAGATGAGATTCATCTCTTTTGGCTTCTGTTATTGTTTCGGATTTTCGAGTCTACAACTAATAAAGCTTTTTCAATGATATGATTCATCTTCATTATCTTTTTCATCTCTCAAAATTGCTAGTATTTTTCATGGATTCTTTTCACTTGCAACGATTACAGATTCACTCTAGAGAATTGGAGGACCCCTTGTGCTCCTATTTAATTAATAAAATTTTGTTTAGTAGATAAGAAAAATACATCCTAGGATGACAGACAACAAATGCCTTGACAAGAGTATCATCTCCTACTCTTTTGAAAGTTGTTCTAGCTGAATTAATATGTACTAAAAAAAATATATCTTGATTTGGGGTCGAGATCACCCATTCAAACCTCTAGGATACACTAACTTCTTCATTAAGTACCAAAAACAAGATCTGAATAGCATAGGGCATAGAGGGGACAGTACCAATTAGCATTATATCCATAAAGCAAAAGCAAGATGCAAACAGCATTCAACAAAGAAGATTCAAGACACTGATATTAAATATTTTCCTATTCCATGCTAGACAAATCATTTGAGATATAATATTGAAATTGTCAAACAAAAAAAAAAATCTGGAGCTGACCATTCTTGCAATAGCATATGAGCATTATTCTATAATCAATCACTGGCTGCAGAACAAACCACTGTTTCAATTGGATCAACTCATTCTTTGTTCTACTTAAGCCACATTCAGCTGTGGTACCTGCTAAACAGATAAATATTATAAGCACTCTTGAGTCTGGCCAGACTTTATTAGAGATTGCAAAATCAATGCAATAAACCAGGTTACTTGAGGTGCAGAGCCTTTATCATATGATGCACCCACCATTAAACGCAAAAAGTGTATGATTTCTCTCGTAAGCTAACCTCAGTAACGCGAGTTGTCAAATACCCATGGCTCATGCAAGAAAAGCTCACGGCCATTCATCTGCACTGTTCCAGCAGCTATGTCTTCGGCTCGTTTCCTAGCTACTTCAGCTCTCCTAGCAGATACATCTGCTTCCTGCAAACAGAGTAATACATATTGATATTAGCATGAACTAGAAATTGAAAAAGATCACTACTGAAATCAGATTGTGAAGAATTATCTAGCTAGAAGACTAAACTACAGATGACCTACAATTGGGTTAAAGAAATAGTTTTTGCCACTAAAACATCATAGAATTTCATTCAAACTAAAACAATTAAAATGCTTAGCAATTTGGGTTCAGTATTTAATTCATCACTTGTTCTTTATTTTCTCCCCCCCCCCCCCCAAATTTACCAATTGTTCTATTCCTCTGGAAAAACAAGAAAGAATGATATTTCCAATTCTAAGCCATTAAGCTAAATTATAGCTAGAAAACCACAGATTATGCTTCAATGATAACCCAAAACTAGCTAATATGTAGAGATTAACTTAATTTCCTAGGAAATTCATGTTGAGGATCAGATTAGCTGGTAAACCCTAATGGAAGAATGATTTACGGAAAATCAGAAATCAGATGATAGGAGAAAGAAGAGACCTTCTGGCGCTTCCAAGAGAGGAACTGAGCCTCCGTGATCGGATTGGGCCTCGGTCGTCCGTTCCCTTGCTGTTGAGGTTCTTCTTCTGCTCCCATGATTTTCCTTTACTTTCTTCTCTCCCAAAAAGACTTCGTAACTCCGTCTGTTAGAGTTCAGCATCGATAGCGGTGCTTCTACTTCAACGACGTGTCGTTTTGACATTAAAAAATAGTATAATACTCTGTTTTTTTTTTTTTTTTTTTTTCGAATGGGTAATATTCAGAGAGTATAGTGTTAAAAATAAAAATAAAAGAACTTTTTAACACTATACCGTTTATTAAAATATTATAAAATAAATTTAAACAGTTTTATTTTTATTTTTAAGATTAAAAATATTTTAATTTTTAATTAAAAATTTATTAAAATAATGTAATTTAAAAATATTTTATTATACTTTTCATATAAAAAAAAGTATTCTTTTACTTAATTTTTTATAATTATGGTAGATAAATTTTTTCTCATATTTATATTTCTAGGTTTTGTTTTCTTCCATTGCCAAATTTTTTTAAAATTAAAATTCAAAATTCAAAATCATTCTAGATAAAACCTAACTTATTTACTGTATAGAAAATAGTCTGAGCATCCAGTGCTGCTTTCCTCTTGATAGAACTCAAATTGTACGGAGTGTAGCAGCCTGGTAGGATGTGTAAAGAGATAGAAGAAGGTGGGAGAGTGCAAAGAAAAAGAGAAGGGCAAAAAAAGACACTGTTCGTTTTACAAATTGTGCTACTTATTTTCCAAAAAAACTAAATATTTCCCAAGCATTTTGCTTTTTCATTGCTCTGTTCATCGTTTCTGTAGTTATGTAAGCAATTGTAAGAGCACAATTCCATAATTCCAAAATATTTGTCTTATGGAACATAATTCCGAAGTATAATCAACAAAGCCTTGTGACATAAATTAGAAAACCAGTAAATTTAAAATCCAGTTAACTGGACTCATGAAGTTGGCCTTGCTAGACCCTATTAGCAGCTACTAATACTAGCTGATTTAGATCTGATCAGGCACGCATCAACAGCTTCAGCAACACTGAGGAAAATCAATCCTCTTCCAATCCTGTCTACGAATTTCGCCAACTTTAGCTTGTGTATCACTGGCCACCGCGGATTCACCAATGCTAACTGCAAAAACCAGAGGCAATGAGACATTATTCAACTGATAAAAGAATAAATTGTTTTTGAGCATAAAATATGTCCAAGTACTTATTCTAAAAACCAGATTCTTACTTCCATGCCCTGGGAAACCAGGTTCTTGTGCAGCTCCTCTAGTGCTAGAATCCCTGAAGTGTCAATGTTCATTATATTTGACATGTCAATAATTAGTGCTTGAACCCTTTCCTTTGCAGCTTCTGCTATTTCATCCCCTGCTATTTCATCCCCTGCTTCCTCTGTCACCCGCCTCATTATTCTAGGGACAAACAATGGCATTGGTCAGCATTATTAGCCAGAATGGAGCCCCTTCTTGTTTTACACAGTTTAGACACATTTACCTTTCTCTGACAAAATTGGCATTGGCAAAGCAAAGTAAGCCAGAGTTGACACGGATGGTCAGGATGCCTGGCGTTTTCTTGGCCATGGGATATTGGTTGATCTCGCAAAAGATTTCTGTTCTTGGAAGTCTTCCAAGTAGTTCAATCCCCGGTCGAATTGAGTTCAGTAATATCTTGGCAAATGAGATTGTCACCTGCATTTCCTTATAAACTTCAGAATTACATATTATCACATATAATGTTTTTACCATTTCATGGCTTTTTTGAAACATGTAACATATTAATGTACTAGAATTGAGCTGAATTTTACAGTTTCAGCATTGCACCAACAAAGGAGGTACTGCATTAAGGAAATATCCAATTTAGACAAACTACTGATAGATTCCAGAGCTGCCTATCACTATTGGTGGAGGCTGAATTATCAAGGCTCGATCATTTTCAGATGGAACCCTCTAAACTATTTCAAGATACCTAACCTGACTGAATGCAATAAGTTTCTTCATTTTTGGTTTTATAGTAGCCTGTCACTAAACACCTCGGATCAGTTTATGCGCATTAGATTAAATGTCTCTCCAATTCCATCAATGATGGGCCACTTACTATATTTGATAATGAAAACTGGTCTTGATAAAGGAGAGTGCAGAAGATTACCGCAACCAGAAGCCCAATCTCTACAGACGCAAACAAGACTCCAAGGAAGGCACCGATGCAAGCTAGGAAGTCTAGTTTGTCAACTTTCCAGATGTAGTAAGCTTCATTGATGTCAATTAGCCCAGGAAGTGCAGACAAGATAATTGAAGCAAGAATGGCGACAGGAGTGTAATACAACAGCCTTGTAAAAAGTTCCAGTGACAATAACACTGTAATGGCCATAACCATATTTGATACGACAGTGTGGCATCCTGCACTGAAATTCACAGCAGTCCTGGAAAATGAACCTGCCCCAACGCAGGCACCAAAAGCAATTTTACATTTATTGGGTTTTGTTAGTGAATACCAACTAGGCTAAGCTGTTTAACTACCTGTTGCGACATAACAAGAAGTTAAAGATCCAGCAAGGTTCATGAACCCCATAGCTAACATTTCCTTGTTGCCATCCAGCTGGTATCCTTTAATGGAAGCAAATGAACGGCCTACAGCAATGGCTTCCTGTGACAAAATTGTTTGAATTAATTTACAGATAATGCCTATAATCATTACCATGATGGAGGTGAATACTAGAGACTGACGGTGAGAGCAATGACAGCAGAAATTATTCCAACTTTGGCAGCTTGTCCAACATGGGGGCCCTGGAGCTGTAGCTTGTGGACTGAACTTGGATTAAGTCCTCCTTTAATGTGTTTTACTATCTTCACTCCATGTTTGTCGGCTTTTGTCAGAAATACCATCATAGTGGATAAGATTACTGATATCAAAGGAGCAATAGCTGGAAACCAGAACAGTTTTCTGTTTCTTCTTCCCTAAAATCAGGCATGTTTTATAAGTGTTACTGAAAAAGTGAAAAACAGAGGAAACAGGGAATGGGATTAGATTACTTACTATAAATCTTGCAATTAGAAGGAAGATAAGGAAGGAGCACCCCAGGACAAAATTAAAAGGATACCACTGTTTAAGACAAGAACAAGGGTTGTGACTTGTGAGTTTGGTCATCCAGAAAATGAACAAGACAAGAAACTGGCTTTTGAAGAACAGAACATACTTCATGGCGAACTGATTTGAAAACGGAGTGTAAAACAGAGATGACATCTGTTTTTGTGGTGAAGTGGCTCATTCCGAGTAGTCCCTTGAGTTGCTGAAGCCCTATGACGATGGCTGCGCCAGCCATGAACCCGACGATTGCAGCATGTGAAAGAAAATCCACCAGAAAGCCTAATCTGAACAATCCAAAGATGGCCTGAAAAATACCGGCGAAGAAAGTGACTGTGAAGACTATATTCCTGTAGGAAACAGGGTCAGATACTGGGTCTACTATGTCGGGAACCATGGAAGATAGCAGCATTGAAACCACTGCTACTGGTCCAATTGCTATCTCTCTTGAACTGCCCATTAATGCATAGATGAGGGGCGGGACGACGCTGGTGTCTGGAAGAAAACAAGGCCAAAATTAGGGGAAAAAGGTTACATTTGCTTAGCAGAATTCAGGGGAAGGTAATGAAACTCACATAATCCATATTGAGGATCAAGTTTTGCTAAATTAGCATATCCAATACTCTACAAAATTGAAAGAAAAAATGAGTTGGAGAATACAAAATAGAAAAGAATACATACCATTATCTTGGATAAATATGAACATCTGTGCTAAAATATACCTGGGGGATGCTAAGGCTTGCAAGGGTTAAACCTGCCATGAGATCAGCTTTGAAATTTGAAACCTTGTACTTTCTGCCCCAGCTGAGGATTGGAAACAGATCTTGGAAGAAGCACAGAATGCGTCTTTGGCTAGTCGATGATGATGATGATGATGATGATGATGAATGGTGGTTGCCTCTTCCACAAGGAAAGACAATTCCTCTTATGGAAATGAAGAGTTCTTGCAGGAAATTTGGAGGATCAGGAGAATTAAGCAACCATTCTGTTGTCTCGATTTGCCGAGAATCAATACCATTTTCAATTTCCAGCTGCTTTTGCTCCTCCAGACTGAAGCGCTCCCTTGCAGAGGGAGAGCCCATGGTGGGTTTGAAGTGCTTGGTTGAACTGAACGTTACTGGGCTATTTCACTTGTAATTCCAGCTTAAATATCGACCAATAAGTTGATTTGTATCTATATATATTAAGATTTAAGGAAATGGTCTTTTCTTTTCCCTTTTTTTTCCTGTTGATTTTTTCCCAGATAACATGGAGGTGAAAATTGGGCATATGCCATGAAATATTAAAATAAAAGCAAAAGGCAAAGGCATTGGAAATTAGAATCTGGTGTTCAAGAGACCTGTTTAAGACTGACATAAAACATTAAAATAACAAAACATTTTCAGTCTTGTTTTGGTCCTCTTTTTAGTGTCTTTGATAAAACTTAAAAACCATTTACTTCAAAAATAATTTTTTCATAAATTTAATATTTTGTTAAAAGTAAATTCAAATTTAACTTTTAAAAGTGTTTTTAAATAAGTTTTAAAAAGTTTAAATTTGTAGTTTTTTTAAAATTTATTTAAAAGTTGTTTTAAAAGTTGATTTTTAAATTTTTCTTTAATAAAATTTTAAATTTTTTATAAGAAAATTTACTTTTTAAACAAGTATTTTTTAAGTTTTAACAAACACCTTCTTTATATATGACAAAATTAAAATTGATTAAACTTTCTTTTAGAGAAAGTTAAAGGGGAATGTCATCCCTTTTTGAAGATACAAAATGTTAAATACCATTTAGTTCTATATAAAATACGTTAATGAATTGCCTCTTGATTCTCCTGGATAATAGAAATCTTTTTGGAACCAATCATAGTTAATTTTTATCCTATATTCTCTATTAGATTAAATTTTGTAATATTTGTTCTTGGTTTTGATATCCAGCCTTGAAACTTTTGTATTTCTAATAGCCATCATCGAAATTAATAACTTCTTTTATCACATGATATTTGAATTTAAAAGTTTTAATTTAAAAATATTAGGTAAAAACCCTTGAATAAGTTCATAGAGAACAAAACTTGTGTATTGAAATTACATTTGGAACTAATCCATATTTGTAATTTTTTACTTTGTTTTCTCTATCTATTTTGTTTCTTATTCAGGATAAATATGAATTAGTTTTGAAGTATAAAAAATTGATATGAAAATATGTTGACTAGAGAGAGAGAGAGGAGTCCATCATTTTTTGGGCGAGAAGCAAGGCACTCATGAAAGCCAAGAACATGTACGTATGGAGGAAAATGGTAGTGGATGGCCTGGTGACATTGTGGTCCTCAATCAATAGTCTAGAGCCCTATCTCCTCTCCTCTTCTCTTCTCTCCATCGTTAAGTAGTGCTCCATCCTCTGGCCGAAAGGAAGCATCTAATCACCAGTACCAACCGACCCACTAGCTTATATGATTCCTAACTTTGTTTCTCTTATCTCCTTGACTCATCAGTATCCATATATTTCATTTCAGGTACAAGTCCTTGTCGTTTGAAAAACTGAAACCCATTCTTCTTTCCCAGAAAATCTTAGCTACATGTGTAGCGTATGCTAGAATCCACTATGCAAATCAGACATTTTTCACTGATTGAAATGGACCAGTGACTTCCATCATAAGAAACGACCAGACCTAAAGCCTTCAGTTTTTTTGCTTTTTGGTACACAACGATAGCTTTCCTTTACTGGCCCAAGGATATGTTTGACTTAAAGGAAATCAAAGTGGAAAGGACAGAGGAATATATCTTTTTATCAATTAAATTATATTATTTTTAAACATTATAATTTAATTAGTAAAAAATACTACCTCTCTTTTCTCTATTCATTTCAGATCAAATGTACTGAATGAAAAGCATCAGATTAAAATAAAATAATCATTAAAAACTGAATTATTAGTGGTAATAGATGATTTTGACAATTTGAATGACAACTTTTTTCTATTCTTTTCATATTTGGGATGGAAGGGATTTACTTCGAATTTTCATAATCCCCGTAAGCCCTTAGTCATTAAACTAAAGCTAAGTGGCCAAGAGGGCACTTTTAACCAGCCAAAACAATTCAAAATGTTAATTAGACCAGGCTCTATCCCCCTACCCATTTTTCCATTGCAGTGAAATAGGGACTTGGATATGTCTTCAAGAATTAAGTCCTATACTTTGTAATTTGGACAGTTTTGTCCTCCCTTTATGTAGCAGCTAGCAGCTTCACTACTCGACTGTAACAAGTAATTTTTTTGGATAAACGAAGATTTACATTTCAAAAATTAAAAAAATTGTTAATTAGACCAAGAAGTCAGTGGTTAGCTAAACAACTTCACATAAAACCTCACTTGTGACCATTGTTTTTAAAATTGAATGGAATGTCAAATTATTTTGACTTTTAAGTTTCAGTTTTGAATAGTTCAATCCATTAAATTGATCAAATTAATAGTTTGACTGCTAGTCAATTATTTAATTAAAATATATGTATTTATGTAAGCTATGTTGGTTGGTCTAGTAGTAAGAGTGGTTTTTGACCTTTCAAATGATTTGTGTTCTAATTTTAATAGTGTAAGTTTTATTTGTTTATATAATTTACGTTCTAATAAATACTTTGGCATCTAACAATCCCAACATATGGCAGTTCAGGTCTGGCGGCAACAATTGCTGCATGTGTTACCTCAGGTTAGGTGGCAACAACATATAGTGATGCCAGAACAAAGGAGGTTCGAATCTTGGCTGTAACATCTCGTATAAGATTTAATAATAAAGGTAATTTAATGAAATATCTTTCAGAATTTGTGCCATAAACATTGTTGTTAAGGTTTTTTTGCCATTAGAGATCGTGAGTTCGAACCTCATTGTTAACATTAAGTAATAAAATTTTGTCACGTTCAATGGTTCTGTTGGTTTTCCCTGTTACTCTGATCTTGAGTTGGTTAACCACTTAAATTGTTTCATATCTCTTATCAGACTAAATTTATGACCAAATATTGGTTTACCAATCGAAACATCAGGTTCGATCTGTTTTTGAAAACATTGCTTGTGAGTTCTTCCAGTATTTAAACTTTGTTAAGGGTTTAATTTGACAAACTGAAATTTATTTAGATGAGTGAAAAAATTAAAAATAAAAAAATAAAATAAAGGACATTCCTCCTCTTCTCTTCTCCCTAATTATTTTTTATAACTAAATAATAGAATTTTCATCCCCTCAAACCAACATGGTGTGAGATATGAAAAATAAATATCAAATTCTCATTCATCAAGACATTTCCTAACGGACTCTAAAAAATGAACAGGTAAGTAGTCTCTCCTATAATTTTTTTTTATAAGAAACAGAAGTTCATTAATATATATGAAAACTATAAACGTTACAGGACTAAACCAAATGAGACAATATGCTAAATTTATTATGCATCCTATGAGTGAAAACATAAAATCAGATAAAACTTGAGCCCAAGATTTAATAGTTTAAGCGATGTTTTTGCATAATCTATTTAGATAGAAAATAAATTGTTATAGGGAGAAAAATTTAGCTAGACTTCATCCTCAACCATATTTTCAACAATTAAAGGTAGCACAATAATTGATTTGAGTCTAATTAATATTGTGTTCAAATTGTCATCATCCTCTGATAAAAATAAATCTTGATAAAAAATATCAAGAAAACTAAGGTAAAATCCTCAAAATAGAAGAAAAAACCTCCATACAAACGGAGAAAATTCTCACATTTAGTCGTCCACCTTAACTGCTGTGGGAGAGAGAGGCAACAACAGGTAAGAAAAAAAAGGGAAACAAGAGAAATTAAAGAAAATTAGGGTGAGTAAAAAAGGGAGCAGCTAGTGTTTGAATAATCTCTCCAATAATGTTTCTATTATATCTTTAGAGTATTAATTTGATTAGTATTAATTATAAGTAATATTTTCTTCAAAAAGCATAGAAAACAAAAGAATTACTAGTGGTTATCTTTTTTTAAATTGTACAACTTAAAATTAAATGAATGAATAAATATATGATAGTTGATAGAAGATGAAAATCGCACTTTTGAAGGTCACTGGACAACAAATAGCTAGGTCCGTCTTTTTATTTTTATTCTTTTATTCTTTTTCATAACAAAATGTTCACAGTTAATACTAAAAACAAATCCATTAAATCTTAAAACTATAAATAATGTTAATTTCTCTATGAAAATTGTTTAGATTAATTTTTCTTTATGAGTTGGCCCAAAAAAATTGTTCTTTATGAAATTAAAAACATATAAAATTTTCTTTCTTATCAAAGATTTCAACGCTTGTCAGGGAGACAAAAAAGATTAATGATTGGACTGGCCTTAACATTATTGTAACAATAAGGATGATCCTTGCGCAAATTACCATGGAGAGGGATGCAGCTTGAGTACGGTTATGCGCGGTGTAGATAAAGATATGAGTTAATTTAACAAAATCATATATTATTTTTTATATTCTTTTCAGTTTTATTAATTATCTTTAAATTTTTTAAATTCTGTTTATTATCTTTTACATTTATTTTAATTTCATCTAATTTATTATTTTTAACAGATATGTTAGTTATCTTTAACATAATCTTCTTATTCTATAAGAAAATATTTA